CCCCTCGCCGCGGCAGCTCCCCCGGGGCCGGGGCTGCCCATCACCAGCCTCCCCGCGCCGGGCACAGCTCCATGGCACCCTGCTTGGCCAGGCCTGGCTCAGGTGCCCCCGGCCATCGCCACCACACCAGTGGGACCCCCTGTGACCTCCGTGCCCCTGTACAGCCCTGCCCATGCTCTCCCACTCGGCACTGCCGGAGGGTGCCGGCTGCCCCTGCTGTACCTGGTGCCCAGGGGCTGGTGCCGCCGCTGGTGCCCGGCCTCCCTCGTCTCCTGGCTCCCTTCCTGCTCCCGCTGTGCTCCCAAAGGTGACGTCCCTTCCTGGGGCCGGGGACAGTCCCGCCAGCTCCACCCCACCGGCCTTATCAGCACCCTTTGCCCGGGAAGTGCCACAGACGGGACAGGGCTCTGCGTCATGGAGCCCAGCAGGTCACCATCACCCTGCGTGGGATGGGAGCAGACACCCACAGCCACGGCCCCTCCGCCCCACGGCACCCGGGGGGCACCCACGGGACCCTGGGGGCCCAGACTCGCCTGTGCATGGCCATGTGAGCACCCATGCAACACCCCTGTCTAATGGCACGCGGCGATGGGAGCCCCATGGGGAGGCCAGAGGCTCTTGGGGCAGGCACAGTGTGCAGGCAGGGAGGGAGGCAGGGCACAGGCAGGGGGGACAGGCAGGGAGAGCAGGCAGGGAGGGCAGGGAACAGGCAGTGGAGCGAGGCCAGAGCTGTGCCTTTAAGCGTGGCGGCACTCCCCACGGTGCTGGCAGCCAGGCCTGTTTACCACAAACTCCCATTTATCTCCTCCGCTGGCCCACGCAGGCTGCCAGCCCTGCCAGGGCACCCTGCAGCACCCTGCCCTGCACGCCCAAGCCCGCATGTGCAGGTACCTGTGCGCACAAGCACCGCAGCCCCGCCGCTGTCCCAGCCTGCAGCCATGGCTCGAGGTGCAGCTGCAAACCCCATGGCCTGGGGTCACCGGGCAGGGGCAGTTCTGCACCCAGTTCCCACGCCAGCCCCATTCCTGCGGGCAGTGGGTCCTGGGAAGGCGGCTGCGGAGACGGAAGCTGCTGCCTGCAAGGAGCAGGGCTGAGGCTGCCTGTACCCTGCTGCTGCTGCTGCCTGTACCCTGCTGCTGCCTGTACCCTGCTGTTGCTACTGCCTGCGCCCTGCTCTGCTGCTGCTCCCTGTGTGCTCATGCCTTCTGCCTGCTGCCTCAGTTAAGGCAGTGGCACAGGCAGCAGCACAGACACAGGCAGAGCACAGGCAGCAGTGCAGGCAGAGCACAGGCAGCAGCGCACAGAAGAGGCAGAAGTGCAGGCAGAGCACAGGCAGCAGTGCAGACACAGAACAGGCAGCAGCGCAGACACAGAACAGGCAGCAGCGCAGGCAGAGCACAGGCAGCAGCGCAGGCAGCAGCACAGACACGTCTCCTGCTCAGACCTGCAGCTGCTCACTTGCAGCCCACACACTCAGGCTCTTCCTTCCGACCCACGTCTCCTGGGGCTCACACCCCCCCGGCTCGTCTCTCTCCTGGAGGCTGTCAGACAACCCCGGCCCCCCCAGCCACTGTGCACAGGCGCAGAGAGGGAGCCCTCATGCACTCACGCACCTGCAGCTGCAGGCTCTGGCCCTGCTGGTCCCACAGATGCTCCAAGCGCCGCTGCTCAGCACCAGGAACCCCACGTGTCCCCAGCACCCAAGTGCTGCGGGTGCTGGCAGGAAGCAGCACACAAGGCTCTGCTCCCAGCCCCAGCAGCTACAGGAGAGGCCTTCAGCAGGACGAGGGGCAAGTGTGGGGCAGCCTCCAGCCTGGGGTGAAACCTGGCACTGGCCCTGGTGCAGGGCCCGTGGGGCACCCTCTCCATCTCACAGGCACTGGCAGTGCCACCCTCCCGGGCCCAGGGGCTGCAACCCTGCTGCCTGCCCCTCTGCAGCCAGCTCTGACCACACTGCCAGGACCTCCTGACCAGGGTGCTGGTGTCCAGCAGCAGCACAGAGCCAGCCCCACACCACCCCCTTCACCCCATGGAGTGACAGGGTACCCCTGGGCTCAGCCTGCCAGGCACCACACGAAAGCACCCATTCCATTGCTCCACTGCCCCCTGTACCCTGCTTCTGCATGTGAGGACTATGGGGTATGCAGGACCCATCGGAAACAGAACCCGTGAGCACCCCTCAGTGCTCGCAGTGAGCTCTGAGCGCAGGCACCACTGCACACCAGGGTGCAGGAACTGGGGGGGTGCGGATCCCTTCCCAACCATCGCTGGCCCCATGGAGCCCACGAAGAGGGTACTGGGCTCCTCTTGCCGCTCCGTGGCACCCTCGCAGCGGTGCTGCCTGGCGCTGGGGGTGCCAACCCCAGCAGCAGCCCCAGTGGGAGCCCCACGGCCCATGCGGCCGCGGCCGCAGCCCAGCCGGGCACCGCGTGTAACACACCCGGCACACGGGAACAACCCCTGGGATCAGCCCTGCGGGAAGAGCCCCGCGGCACCGCTCCCCCCGCGCCGGCACCCAGCGCACCCGTGTGAGCGCTCACACGCGCACACGCACACGCACTCTCCCCATGCACATCCTCCCATGCACACGCACGCACTCTCACACCCAGGCCCTCGGCCCCACCGCCCTGCACACCCCCATAGACCCCGCACCCCCCATGCACCCCCTGCACACGGCGGCACAGGAGCCCTCGCCAGAGCCGTGCTCACACACACGCACGCAGCCGCCCCTGCACACCCGCTTGCACGCACACCGCGCCCGCAGCCCCCCCGTGCCCGGTGCCCCCCGCCCGCAGCCCCGTCGCGCCGCCCGCTGCTCACCGCTCGGCGGCGGGCCCGGCTCGGGGGGTCCCCGCCCGCGGAGGGCCCGGGGCGGCTCCGGTGGCTCCGCCCGCCGCTCACAACAAAGGGGCCGCCCCGCCCGGCCGCCCCCCAACCCGCCCCGGCACCGGGGCCCCGCCCGCCGGGGGGGGTGGTCCCGGCTCGGGGGGGTCGGTCCCGGTCCTGGCGTGCGGGAGCTGGGGGAGGCCTTGGCACTCCCGGCGGGGTCCCGGTGTGCGGCCGGGGTGGGGTGATGCTGGTGCTGCCCCCCACCCCGCCCCGCAGTGACGGGCTCAGCACGGCCATGGGGCTCAGCCCGGTTGTAGGGCAGGCGGGAGTGTGGCTTGGGGACTACAGCGGGGTCCCCGCTGGGGTGAGAGGGGGCTCACTGGTGTCCTGGCTGTGGGACACCCAGAGCACCGCTTGAGGCATCGCTGTGGGGTCCTGGTGGTGACACCCGCTCTGGGCATTTTGGGTGACTGCTGGCCCGCAGCACCCCGCAGTGGGCCAGGCGGAGGGCCCAGGCAGGGGTCCAGGGCAGGACCAGCCAGCTGTGGCTCTTCAGCCCGTTTCCTGCAGCATCCTTCCCCCCATGGCTGTGCCACGTGCAATTCCCTTCTCTTGTCCCATCCCCACTGCCGTCCACTTGCCTGGGCCACCGGCCCGTTGGTAGCCCAACTCCATCGTGGCATGTCCACAGAGCCGCTGTGCCACCTCGCCTCGTGCTGCACCCGCAGCGCTTGGCCAAGCCACTGGCACATGCAGAGGCTCTGCTGCAGGCAGCTGCCTGCCCTGTGCCCGAGGCTGCGGGGAGGGGGTGCTGGTGGGGGTCCCACAGTCCCTGTTGTCCCTGCACCACAGCCCTGGGGGAAGCAGACCACAGGCTGGTGGCTCCAAGCGGCATCCAGGAGGGATCCCGTCTTTGGGAGCAGCACCGTCTGTTCCCCGCGTGGTGCCCCCTCCCACGGGCAGCACGGGGCTGCCTGCAGTGGATGGACCGCCCCCCCCAGGCCCTCCCCTATTCTCCGCCCGGCCCCTGGTGGCCCCACGCTGCCGGACCCGCAGTCCCCCCGGACACGTCGCTCCCCCGCAGCCCCCCCTTGGCCCGGCCGCGCTGCGGGCAGGGGCTCTGCCGGGAGGCGGCTCTGGGCCGGTGCCCCATGGCCGCCGGTGTGACCCGGTCCTGCGAGCGCTGCGGTCACCGCGCTGCTGCGAGGCCGGGGGGGGCAGCCGGTGCTGGGGAGGGTCACCCCGCGGAGCCACGGGGAAGGCGGTGGGGACGCCCCATGGAGCACTGGCTGCCGGCCCCCCCGCGCTGGCAGCGCCGCAGGCGGCTGCTCTGGTTAATGTTAAAGCCAGGCAGAATGGGTGCTGCCGGCCCGGCCTCCCCCCCGGCCCCGCCGCTTGCGCAGGCAGGTCCAGCGGGACGGTTCCTCCTCCCGCAGAGGGATCTGCCCATGCCCTGTGGCTAAAAATAAGTCCTTGGCTTGGCCAGGGTAGAAGCTCTGGGGCTGAGCAGGCTCCAGGCCACCCCAGCACATCTCCTGGCACCCAGGCATGTTGTTGGGGTGCCCATGGGGTGCATTTCCCCCTTCATTCCCCGTGTAGGGGTCAGGTGAAGGTCCCCTTGGGGCAATGGCAGCAGCCATCCATCCCTCTGGGCCAGTCAGCCCTGAGTCACGAGCTGGCGTCGTGCAGTCACACTCACTTCTATGTAAGGAAAACCTGAGGTCGCTCCAAAACCCTGGGATCCAGCATCAAGCATGTTCCCTGGTTGTGCCCAGAACGGGGACAACCATCTCCTTTTGCTACCGCAAACCCTCCTGCTCCTCATACCCCACACAGCCATAGTGGTGGGGTGCGATGCCCACAAAGGGGGGGACATCTCACCCCTGGTGACAGCTGATCCGGGGCTCACCTTATGCTTTGGTACTGATGGCATCCAGCAAGCGGCATCATCCTCCCTCCCCATGCACACAATGGGGAGGGGGGGGCACGCTGGTGTTTTGCAGCTCCACATTGAGGGCATCACCCCCTGGGGGTGTTTTGATGGAGTGAGGGGGGGTGGGATGTGGGGTGAAACAAAGGCCCTGGGTTCTCCCCCCCATAGGACCCCGCGAGGGCCCCTTCGGGCCCTCGCGGGGTCCTATGGGGGGGAGAACCGGGCAGGGACCGCCCCGGGGCGGAGCAATCGCGTCCCCGCTTCTCCACTGCCGCCGTGTCCGCCCCGTCGCGCCCCGCCATGGCCGCCCGTTACCTCCGTGCTGCCCCGGTGCTGAGCCGCTTGGTCCGCTGCCCCCTCCCCGCCGCTTCCGTGGGGCAGCGCCGGCACTGTGAGTGTATGGGGCGGGGGGGGGGAGGACACCCTGAGTGTCCTTAGGGACGCGTCCGGTCCGAGTGGGGTTTGCAGCAGTTTCGACCCACGGAAGGGTTTGCACGGAGGGTCGGTTGGATTTGGGGGTGCGATTGGGTCCGTATCCCGCTTACAGCCAGTCCGGGGTGTGTGTGGGGGGGGTTTCTCCCGGTTCCGGGCGGGTTTTGGGTCCGTACCCTGCTCACAGTAGGTCCCAGGGGGCGGGGTTTTGCTCCCGGTCCCGGTTCTCCGAGGGGGTTTGCAGCCCAATTCGTACCCGGTTTGATCCTGGAGGGGTTTGTGCCACCGGGTTTGGTCCCCAGAGGGGTTTGTCCCCGGTCCTGGTCCCACGTGGAAGTTTTTCCACCCGACCTGCTGCGCGGTGTGGCCCCCGGAAGGGTTTGCTCCCCGTCCCCCGTTGAGCTTTGCAGCATCCAGGTCCCATCTCGGCTTCTGGTGCTGGTCCCATATGGGGTTTTGTAGCTCAGCTTGGCACCGGGGGGGTTTTACACCGCAGCTTCCACCCGGGTCCTGTTCCGAGGGGGTTTGCGCCCGGTCCCTGTGCTGTGCGGGGTGTCCCGGGGTCTGATCCGGTCCCGCTCCAGTGCTGGTCTCACGTGGGGCTTTGCTCCCAGCTCGGACCGTGTCCCGCCCCGCACCCGTGTCTGTGCGCTGCTGACCTGCACTGAGTGCGACCACAGTGGGGCTGGTGCAGGAGCAGCCCGGACCGCAGTGGGGTTTGCGCCCCGACATGTGCTCGAGTGGGGTGTGCACCCCACCCTGCACCCAACCCCACCGGATGGGTCTCTTGGGGCCCCTGGGACATCACACCGAGAGCACAGCTGTTGGGCTGAGGTGCAGGCTGTGGGGCTGAATTGTGGGGCTGGGGTGCGGGGCTGTGGGGCTGAGCTATGGGGCTGGGGTGCAGGGCTGTGGGGCTGAGCTGTGGGTCCGGGTGCGCACCCCTAATGTGCCACCGCTTGCTCCCAGATGCCGACAAGCGGATCAAGGTGGCCAACCCAGTGGTGGAGATGGACGGGGACGAGATGACGCGGATCATCTGGGCCTTCATCAAGGACAAGGTAATGGGTCCAGGACAGCTGCTGCTGCGCAGGGCCCCCGCTGCCCACCCCGCCTCTGCTCCCCTCCCCGTGTCCCGTGCCCGGCCTTTGTCTGCAGGGAGCAGGTGCTGGAGTCAGCCCCGTGTCCGCAGGGACCTGGGAGGTCCCGAGCAGGGGCTGGAGCTGGGGCCAGGGCTGGGGCTGACTGCCATGGTGCTGGGGCTGGGGTTGTGCCATGGTGCTGTGCCGTGCCACGGCGCTGTGCCGTGCCATGGCGCTGTGCCGTGCCATGGCGCTGTGCCGTGGTGCTGTACCATGCCATGGTGCTGTGCTGTGTCACGGTGCTGCTCCCCGCACACCCAGCACCGTGCCCAGGCTCTTACACTCTCTGCCCCCCCCAGCTCATCCTGCCCAACGTGGACGTCCAGCTGAAGTATTTTGACCTGGGGCTGCCGCACCGGGACAAGACAGATGATCAGGTCACCATCGACTCGGCGCTGGCCACCAAGAAGTACAGCGTGGCTGTCAAGTGTGCCACCATCACGCCGGATGAGGCCCGGGTGGAAGGTGGGCAGGGGTGAAGGGGCAGGGTCCCCGTGGTGGCACAGGTCTGTAGTGGGCTGGGGGCCCTGTGCTCAGTGCTGTGCCCTCCTCCCCGGGTGCTGTGTGGGGCTGGGGACAGACCGGCCCCGTGCCCATGTTGAGCCGTGCTGGCTGTGCCTCTCCTTGGCCGGCACCAGTCTGGCAGCAGCCCACGACATGGAGGAGCCGGCGGGGGGGGTTGTGGTGCTGGGGCTGTGGCTTGGGGGGGTCCCTCGGGGGGGCCTCACCTCAGTGCACCCCAGAGTTCAAGCTGAAGAAGATGTGGAAGAGCCCCAACGGCACCATCCGGAACATCCTGGGGGGGACGGTGTTCCGGGAGCCCATCGTCTGCAAGAACATCCCGCGCCTGGTGCCCGGCTGGACCAAGCCCATCACCATCGGCCGGCATGCCCACGGTGACCAGGTGAGCGCCGTGGCACGGGGGGGCCGGCAGCTCCTCACGGGCCCTGCCCCACGCTCTGCCCTGCCCTGTGCAGTACAAAGCCACCGACTTCGTGGTGGACAAGTCCGGGACGTTCAAGATGATCTTCACGCCGAAGGACGGCAGCGGGGCGAAGGAGTGGGAGGTGTTCAACTTCCCCGGCGGCGGCGTGGGCATGGGCATGTACAACACGGACGAGGTAACGGGGCAGCGGGGGGGCCCCGGGGGGGACCTGGCCAGGCTCAGGGTCCCACAGGTGTCCACGCGCTTCCCTTGCAGTCCATCTCGGGCTTCGCCCACAGCTGCTTCCAGTACGCCATCCAGAAGAAGTGGCCTCTCTACCTGAGCACCAAGAACACCATCCTCAAGGCCTACGACGGCCGCTTCAAAGACATCTTCCAGGAGATCTTCGACAAGTACGGGCTTGGTGGAGCTTGGGCTGCTCGGGTGGGGTACCGGCACGGGGTGGTCATGGCCAGGCCTGGCTGACCCCCCCCGGATCCCCAGGCACTACAAGACTGAGTTCGACAAGCTGAAGATCTGGTACGAGCACCGGCTCATTGATGACATGGTGGCCCAGGTCCTCAAGTCCTCCGGGGGCTTCGTCTGGGCATGCAAGAACTACGATGGGGACGTCCAGTCGGACATCCTGGCCCAAGGTGGGGCGCTGTGGGGCAGGTTGGGGTGGGCTGCACGCAGTCACCCTGCCAGGGCTGCTCTGACCCCCATCTCCGTCAGGCTTTGGGTCCCTGGGGCTCATGACCTCGGTGCTGGTGTGTCCGGATGGGAAGACCATCGAGGCCGAGGCGGCCCACGGCACCGTCACCCGGCACTACCGGGAGCACCAGAAGGTGGGTGCGCTGTGCCCGCGGGTGCTGCCCGCGCCACGCTGCCCGCGCCGGGTGCTGAGCGCTCTCTCTGCGCAGGGACGACCCACCAGCACGAACCCCATCGCCAGCATCTTCGCCTGGACGCGCGGCCTGGAGCACAGGGGGAAGCTGGACGGTAACCCTGAGCTGATCAAGTGAGCGCGGTGGGATGGGGCGGGACGGGGCTGTGGGTCCGTGGCGCAGGGGTGCCGGTGAGGTGCCGGCTGTGCCGGAGCCGTACGCGTGATGCCGCCATCGCCAGGTTCGCCCAGACACTGGAGAGGGTCTGCGTGGAGACAGTGGAGAGTGGGACGATGACAAAGGACCTCGCCGGTTGCATCCACGGCCTGGCCAAGTACGTGTGGGGCTGTGCAGGGTGGACATGGGTGCCCATCCCCGGGGACTTGGGTCTGGTGCAGCTCATGGCCGGGCAGGGGTCACATCGCACACCTTGAGCTGTGCTGCCAGCAGTGGGGACAGGAAGGGACCCCCAGCCATGGGTCCCTCCATGCCCTGTCTGTACCCCGCAGTGTGAAGCTGAACGAGCACTTTGTGAACACCACCGACTTCCTGGACACCATCAAGAACAACCTGGACAAGGCCCTGGGCAAGAAGTAGGGACCGGGGGCACCCGGCCCCGCTGCTGCGGCGTGGATGGAGCCGGCGCCTCCAGCCTGGCCCCGCAGCTCAGGGACAGCTCAACCCTTTTTGTAAGCAGTTTTCTTACAAGTGTCCATAAAGCTTTTCTAGCAGGGATGTGTAGGACCAGGGGGGCCCGCGCTGACTCGTGTACCCCCCCGTGCCAGCAGCCATTAAACACCTCACCCCACGGTGTGGTGGTGCCTGCCGCGGCACGGGCAGGGGTTGCGGTGGCTCCAGAACCCACAGGTATGAGATCTATTGCTAAACAGCTCCTCAAACCGAGATGAAAACCAGCCAGAACACAGCAGGGCCGTGCACCGGGGTCTGAATGCGGAGGGGGACATGTGTCCACTGGGGCCAGCTCTGCCATCAGGCCCCCGGCCTGGTGCTGTGGTGCTGCAGTCACCCGGCACCCTCTTGCAAGGGGGGGACACACGTGGCAGCTTTTTGGTAATGGGGCTGAGGTAGCGCTGGGGAGGGACACGGCCACACTGCGCAAGGGGGTCCAGGCTGGCCACCGCTGCAGCCACCTCCATCCTTCCCAAGGTGGGGGCAAGGCTGCGGGGCCCCTGCCCTGCCGGGAACACCGGGGCTGGGAGGTGGCACCCTCCAGAGCCAGCCTGGGCTGTATGGGGACGGGTGGAACATGCTGCATGTGGGGAGTGGTGGGACCTGGACCTGTGCAGCTGCTGGCAGCGGGTGCAGGGGATCAGCTTGAGGTCCCAGACCCGTCCCACTAGGACCCCACGGCAGGGAGTGTGGACAGCCCGGACAGTGCTCCCAGCCTGGCACTGCCCCAGCTCCTCCTTCCCCCCCCCAACACTGAGCAGAGGATGGACCCTCATCCCAAGGGCTGCCCCAGCACCGCCATCCCCTGAGCCCCAGCACAGCCCAGCGGCTCGGAGCCGGCACTGAGAGCAGCTGTGGCCCCTCGGCAGGGCCCTGGTGCTGCTCGGCTGCCCCCGGGCAGCGGGACCGGCTCCGGTGCCCAGCCTCCCGCAGAGAGCACACACGGAACACGGGTTTACAAAGCACATTGGTTGAAGGAAACTGAACGCGCTCCAGAGTTCAGTCCAACCCCGCGGCACGTCTGACAAAAATAAATTACTTTCCAAATCGCCTCATTGCTCCGGGGGAGCAGCGTCGCCTCGGCCGGCACAGCAGCACCGCGGCGGCTGCGCCCGCACCGCCTGCACCCAGGGGAATACACTGTGATGAGCGCGCCCCACAGCCTGCAGCGAGACCCACAGCCCCTCCTGCCCCATGGGAGCTGGGGGCTGCAGCCCCACACGGCCGTGGGGCAGCGCCAGGAGGTAGAATCAGTAACACGGCATTGTCCGGGATGCGCCTTGCCCTGCCTGCGGCTCAGCGTGTGCCGGGGCCGGAGCGAGGCCAGGGCAGGGATAGGGATGGGGCTGGTGCTGGCTCGGCCCAGTGCGGAAGGGCTGGTGTGGGGCAGGAGCAGGGCGAAGGGAGGGCAGAGCCAGGGACATTTGCCATTCCCGCTCCAGGCACTGTGGAGGGGGGGCAGGACCCCACCGATGGTGAGAGCTCCACCGCGGCTCCTGCAGCAGCAGCCCAGGGCTGAGCCCCCCTGCACCAGCTCATTGTGCCTATGGCAGCAGCCACTGCCTCTGCCACTTCCAGCTGCCACCAGCAAAGGCTTTGGACATCCCAGTTTAATCCCTCACCAATCCCAGCTGGAGCCCCTGTCTCCAGGGGCGGTGGTGCGGGCCTGGCCGGGTGCTTCACCTCCGCTTACCACACAACGTCCACGCAGCCCCCGGCAGCCTGCTCCTGCGCTACAACATGTTGTAGTACGCCATCTCCTTCATGGCCTGCTCCGTCAGGGCGTGCTCGTCCGGAGGGTTGCCCACCCCCCCATAGCCATAAGAGTTCTCCTCCTCGAAGTCGTCCATCTCCTGCTGCCCGTCCAGCTCGGCGTGGTCGGCCCCGGCCAGTTCCATCATGGGATCTAGGATTCAGCACAGGGACACCGATGAGGGACACGGGTTAGAGCCCAAAGCTCCCCAGGAGTCACAGCTCTGCTCAACCAGGGCACTGGTGGGGGGATCTCGGCTCAGAGGATCCCCAGGCATGCACCCAGCAGGGGTGGGGTGATGGCAGAGCATGCCGGAGCGGAGAGCTGGCATCGGTGTGCTCACTGTGCCACATGCACCCATCCCACCACAGGGACAGGGAGGCATCCTCCCAGTGCAGCCCCTGCCCTTGCACCCCCGCACTGGCTGAGTTGTCCGTGGTGAGGAGGAAGAAAAAGGGCAGGAACGGGGGATCCTGCCGGGTCCCCCCAGGGCACGCTCGAGGCAGGCATCAAGCTGCTGGGAAACCAAGGGTCTCCAGCTCTGCCCGCGTGACGCAGGGGTGGCTCCGCTGCATGGATACTGCCACAGGAGCTGTCCTGGCGCTCCTGAGGCCGCAGCATCTCCTGTCCCCGCTCGGTGTCCTTGGGCAGGTACCGAGGGGGCAGCCGGGGCAGGAGCAGCAGGATTTACCCTCCCACCCTGCAAAACCCCCGACCGAAACCACCAGGACAGCGTCACGAGAGGGCACTGTCCTGTCAGGAGATGCTGAAACCTCAGCAGCTCCTTGAGGAGCTATTTATTAACTTATTGTTCAATGAATTATTAATATTAATCTTACTCCCAATCCCATTCACTACCTTTCTACGGAGGACGGTGGTGGCTGGGGACACAGTGATGTCACCACGCGGTGCTGGCAGCACGAGGGCAGCCTTTGGGTGACGGACATGAGGCTGCCAAACTCTGCTCATCAGAGCTGCCGCAGCGCAACCCAACTCCCCAGCAAGCAGCCGAGAGCCGGGAGCAGCCGCAGCAGGGGGAACCACAGCACCGGCCACAGCCTGCACCCACCTTGGCTGTCCAGGCTGATGTCCATCACGCCGTGCTTGACCTTCATGTGCCGGCTGAGGTTGCCCTTCAGGTTGAACTTGCTGGAGCAGTAGGGGCACTTGAAGGGCTTGCTCCCCGCGTGCAGGTGCATGTGTCCCAGCAGGTTGTACATGCGGTTGAAGGACTTCCCACAGACCTGCGGGCAGCGCTGCCGTCACCGAGAGCTCCCCACGGCACCGGGACCCACCGCGACCTGACCCTGCGGCACCCACTGAGTGACGGGGCTGCTCCCTCCTCCCCGCTGCGGTGGCGGGGCTCTGCTGGTGCTGCTGGGAACTCCAGCACCCCTAGTGCTCATCAGAGGGGCAGCGGTTGTCCTCCTCCATCGCTGGTGCCCACCGCTCAGCTCGGAGCAGACGGATGAGCTGTTCGCCCGGGCGAACAGAGGGAGGCATCACAAAGCTGCTTTCCTGAGGCCGAGGACTCAGCCCAGCCTGGCCGGGTTTCTCCGCAGCACACAGCACCAGGTACGGCACTACCCCCCCGTCCCCGGGTCTGCTGAGCCTCCCGGGTCCCCCGTACCTTGCATTTGAATGGCTTCACTGGTGAGTGCACAATCATGTGGGTCTTGAGCGTCTGCTTCTGCACGAAGGTCTTGAAGCAGATGTGACACTGGTAGGGGCGGACGCTGGTGTGAATCAGCATGTGCCGCTTCATGTTGGCCTGGAGGGTGAACTCGCGCCCGCACACCTCACACTTGAACTCCTTCACGCCCTGCAAAGGGTGTGAGAGCCGTGGGCAGAGCCTGGCCCCGGGCAGGCAGCAGCAGCCACGGGGTCACTGCACAGACCCCACTGGAGCTGGGCACGGCGCAGAGCACGGACTGCGCTCCCCGAGGGCGGCCTCCTCACACTAAGCTGAGCTCTGGGGACTGCTGTGTCTGCCTGTGGCAGCAGGTGGGACTGGATGAGTGCTCAAGCCAACCCAGTCGGTCATCCTGTGATTCTGTGACTGTCGGTGGGCTGGAGCCCAGGAGCTGGGGGCGGATTTACCCTCATCACCTCATCCGCAGCTTCCCCAGACCATCTCCTGCTGCCCTCTCCTCCCCTTCTGCAGGCGCAGAGGGCACCACTGAGCTCAGGGCCACCCCTGTGCTGCCCCATGGCCAATTCCCTGGGGCAGGACCCTGCCTCCTGCCTCAGCCCCAGACAGGCTCACCCAGCCTGGAAATGTGTTTGCAGCCAGTATTGAGTCAGTGCTGCGGAGCAAGAGCAGGGAAGGAGATGGGGACTGCAGGTGCCAGAGCCCATCCTTACCCATAGTGAAGCCCATTCGCTGCTAATCAGTGGCCCCGAGAGAATGAACAAGGGTGCCTCTGCCACCCGCAGCACCCGTCTCCCAGGGCTCCGGGTGCATGGACACCTCCCTCACCCCGGCACCCACATCCAGAGGTGCACATCTTCTCCATGCATATCCCGGGCAGCACCCCCGGGTGCTCCATCCCCTACCTTGTGCGTGAGGGAGTGCTGCTTGAGGTGGTGGATCTGGCTGAACTCCATCCCGCACTCGGTGCAGACGAAGGGCCGGACGTTCTGGTGCTTCAGCATGTGGTTCTGCAGCTGGCTGCGGTAGTGGAAGGACTTGCTGCACTCCAGGCACTGGTAGAGCGTGGGGCCCTGGTGCGTGGAGAGGTGCCGCTTCAGCTGGGTGAGCGTGGAGAAGTCCAGCCCGCACTCCACGCAGACGTGGCAGCGCCCGCTCTCGTGCTTCACCTCGTGCGCCTTCAGCTCGCTGGGGTAGGCGAAGCCGCGGCCGCAGAAGCGGCAGCTGTAGGGCTTGATGTCGCTGTGCAGCAGCATGTGCCGCTTGAGGTGGCTGGTCTGGGTGAAGGCCTTGCTGCACACCCCGCACTTGTGGGGCCGCGTGCCCTGGTGGGTCAGGAGGTGGGTCTGCAGGTGGCTGGGCTGCTTGAACAGCTTGCTGCAGTGCGGGCAGGAGTGCGGCTTGATGCCGTTGTGGCCCAGGATGTGCGTCACCAGGTTGTACTTGGAGGTGTAGGACTTCTCGCACATGCGGCACTGCCAGCGCTTCTGCCGGTCGCCCGCCTCCACCAGGTAGGAGTCGTCGATCTGCACGTTGATGTCCAGCCGGTCCAGCTGCGCCTTCTTGTTGCGCTCGCTGGTGGCTCCGACCGGCTCCAGCTCGCCCGGCTCCTGCCACCCGCAGCCGGGCTCGCTCTTCACAGGCTCGGGGGACGCGGGGGCCTCGGCCTCGCCGGGGGACGTGGCACCCGCCTCCAGCGTGCACTCGGTCCTC